CATGATGCTTCCCGAGACATGTGCAATGCTTCCTGTAGCTCGTCTAGTGGTGCCTCCAGCGTTGCTTCCTGTTGGTTCTCCTGTGGTGCCTCCTGCGTTGCTTCCTGTTGCTTATTCTGTGGTGCATCCGGCAGTTCCTCCAGTTCCACCTCCATCTTCTCCTATATTGCCTTCTTTTACCGGAGTTTCGCGCCTTCTTCTGTCAGATCTAGTATAAAATTGTCGGATTAAATAATGCTTCCAGGCAAAAGTATGTCAAATAACATATGCCAATAATTTCGCGTCTCTGAAGGATATGGAGATACATATTTTGCCTTGACAATTTCACGCTCTATTTTTCTTTTTCTTTTGTAATATTATTTTAAAATGAGTCAATTTAATTTTATAATAAAAAAAAACAACTTTTGAAATTTAATTCGATGTTCGGACTTTTCCGTTGTTCTCAGAGAGATGTTATGCATAGCTGGTGATTTGTCATTTTAAAAAAGATTTAAATGAAAGTTTCCACCCCAGTCCCTGTCCGTGGAATCGTCAGAAGGAATGTTTTACACTTTTCCGTCAGAATGGAATGGTTCATGCGATGACAATGTAAATGAGATAACTCATTTCACAGTTCTTACTTCTCTAGGATTGCAATTGTTTGACTCGTAACATAACAGACCATCTCATTCCAACTCAGATATTCAGGCGGTTCTCAGTCGTAGAATCACTTTGTAGAACCTAGGACAGATTACTTCTCACCTCTTGCTGGTCAAAGGACACGATTCCGTAGCGTTCTCCTGGGTGTACAACCCAATACACCACTGGTTCGATTGCGGATCCAACCAAAAGCAAGCAGTAGAACGCGAAAAGCTTCAGCGAGTAACCCATCGCTCTGTCAGAACAAGGAACTGAATTTACGCATTTTATTCCTACAAAGTAGAACTTCCTGGAAAAAAAGACGTATGCTCTCCCACGTAAATCCTGTTTAAGCCTATCCTATTTAAATCACCTGCACAGAGAGAGATCAAAACTCTTTCCCATGCATAAAGAAGGAGGGTTGCGAAGGAATCAAATATAACGAGGATGTGTGAGGCATGGGAACAAGAGAGAACGTATCTATAACTGCTAGTTCCTCTGTTCAAGGAAACTATACGGACGACACGTCTTGAAGAGCGAACCTTGTTAGGCGTCACCTACCGCATGATTCCCCAACCGAAGCATTATATATCGATTCAAGTGTATTCGGACATCGAGCCAGATTAATCAAACTTCAAAGTCTGTTACATTAACAATATCTAAGATTCCGTCTGGTTGGGGCGTTGCACGAGCTTTCAATGACAACGAAGCGCCACCTTCCAAAACCAGGTTGGAGGCACGTGCCGCACAACGCAAGAGAAGCCGTTGCTAGGCGAGTGATTGTGACCTTGGCATGGCTAGACTGAGGTAAGCAGCTTCTCCTTGTACGTCCTTGTGCGCACGGGGTCTTCGGAGAGTAGCCATCGATTGTACCGGAAATGTTTCCGTTGAATATCTATCGAAATAACTGAGGAGTCCATCGATTTCCACATTCACTGTTTCCTTAACGGCCATGGGGACATTAGGCTGCCAATCTGCCGCGTCTGCTAACGCACAGATCATGGATGGATGGATGATGCATTCGCAACAGTTACCGCGGCAATGCCCGGAAAGATGTCTCCCAAAATGACACGGAAATATGTACTTATGTGCCGCGGCAAAGTTTGGGCTCTCGCACTGACGCTCTGGACGCTGAATTTCCAAGAAGCGTACGTCCTACCCGGTCACACGATATAATGACTAATGAACATGAAATAATAAAATATTTAATTATTAGTCCTTCGTATGTGCTAAATTTCCAAAAGCGACACAAACAGCAGTTCACATGAGTAACATGAGCATGACTAAGATCCGACCTCGTCCAACATAGCGTATTGCGGAGCTCTCTCACCGAACCAATATATCGATTCAAAGTTAAAAGCGGAACGAGCGAGAAAATCCGGGCTCTTACCCACATATATTTCTTCTTTTCAAAGTTTTTGCCGAGGCCAGCGTTGCCCAGTTACCAAGATTAACCTGGTGTTTCTCTCTTGTCAGAATCTGATTGTATGGAAATCACGAATGGCAATGCAAATTAAGACAGAAACTACTGGACAGCAGAATATGCAATTATGAATTTCGGAAATTTTCCTGGTTCGCAGAACGCTGCCTACTGTCAAATCCTGAATCTCACGATGGATTGGGTATCTGATACATTAATTTAATGAAAATGTTATATTCTTTATTCTATATCATTTCTATATTATTTCCTCTCCATCAAATTCTATAGTGAAAAGAATCGCTATAGCTACGACCAATTCGGATTTAGAATTTAATATCTTTAATATATTTTAGATACTCTAGAATTTAAGAGTTACTGTTGGTGTACCATTAGATTCCACCGAAAGTGGGCATTAACGGAGAGAATCTAGCCATGTTGCAAAAATGGTGGAGGCACCCACTCCTGCCTTCAGCTTAGGACGTAGGTGGCATATTCTCCAATCTTCCGTCCTTCCTTGATGCTACGTTGTTGTTCAAAGTTCTTTCGAATTGTAGATTCTGATACGAGATTCTCGTGAAATATCTCCCACCCCACCCCCTCCCCAACTCCATTGTTATGCCGCCGTTTCTCCAATTACGCTGCCAAGTTCAAAACGGATAACGCGTTCTGGAAGAAGAGCGCTGAAACGAGACGTAATTATTTGTTAGTGGATTCTCCCATTTCATATGGAATGCCCATTTTCTATATTATGGTATCAATTCATGGTCAGGATCTGGCATGAAATGACGAAAATAAAATCTGGACGTTGTGTAACTCTTCCGGTCGATCATTTGATTCCGTCTATACTAGTGACGCGACATTTTTCGTATATTTCTTTCCATCCCTTTTTCCACTATCTTCATAAGTCGATAAATCCAATCGTGTCTGGATTTACCGTTTGGAATTCTCACATCAACAGTTCATAAGTGCATCGATGCATTGTCGGTGGATTCATTCCACAAGTTAATAACCAGTTCCCGACTTCAAGCGCCATTATGAATGCGATGAAGCTTTAGGAATGTCAAACGCGTCTAATTGGGGCTTGACCTCAGGGCAAAATTGCGAATGACTCTTTTCCGTTTCGAGACTCACCTCGGGATCAACACGACCCGACGCGACGCTCGCTTCGAGAAAATCTCTCCTCGTTGCAAGACTTTATCTGCAACAAGGAAAGAACAAGCAAAAAGGAATTTCTATTACGTTTTTCGCATGGTGTTAATTACGGACGTGAACTTGTTCACCTAAGGCCAACGGTGTTCGATACCTTATGATATTGGATATAGCAGATGCTCCTTAGAAAATAGTATTTGAAAATAAAAAAGGAATCTAAGAATTTAACAAATGTTGAAATCTACTATGGTCGTTGGTGATAGTCGGTGAAATGAGGGCACAAACATTGCTCACGCTTGGTCGCAGTTCGATCACGTATGTTCTCCCATAGCCCTAGCAACGTGTACAACCAGAATGTCTCAAAGTCAAACCCATTCGATTCGCGGCCATGGTAACATGAGACAACCAGCGCAATTTCTTGGATCAGATCTACAAATGGAATGGTGATCACCATTTCATGCAATTGAACCCATCGAGAAAATAGTTTCACGAACTCGCGGAAGTTCGCCAATCCGATTTCAATATCATCCCTGTTACTGTCTCCGTAACTCAAAATGGCAACGAAATATGTGTACTGAAAGTGTACTGGGAACGCGCAATTCTATGTTGTTCTTAAATATAGTAGGGCTAAGAAACAATAAATGAGTCGATAATAAAAAAGTCATACACTGTTGCTCAAATTCCTGCAGGGAATGAAATGGCGGTTCACACAAGTAGGATTACCGCGACTATGAGAGCCAGTTTCGTCCCGTGTTCGAGGGTCTCACGGTTCTGCCACTGAAGCAGTCCATCGATTCAGAGTTAAAAGCGGAACGAGCGAGAAAATCCGGGTTCTCACGCGCTTTTTTTCCACATGCCTTTCCTATTCGAAACTGGCGTTGCCCGGAAACAATGTTTTACTCTGATGCTGCTTCTCTTGTCTCTCTTGCGGACAAATTAATTCATAAGTGGAGGGCTCCAAAATGTGCGACTTGCCGTATCGCTTTTTCTCCAATTTTTTTTATTTCCTGTATCTCCCACACTAAAGTTCACATGCAGGATGTTCAAAAGGTTTCTGACCCACCCTCAAAATCTGTCTGAATGCTATTTCAACCACTGCGAAAACATCCTATTGAATTCATGGGCTACATGAAGATCCTGGTGATCTACTAAGACCCAGAGAATGTATTGTGAATGCAGAACGTAGCTTCATTCGACACCGGTGACTTCGAAGAGACCAGAGTACAAGTAAAAAAATACTGAACCAGTGCAGAAGAATTCACTCCCCAAAAGCGCAAAGTGAGTAGCAAGACAAAGTGCATGTCCCAATTGTGACTTGAACAAAAACTGACATCGTCGAAGAGTATGAAGTGCAGGTGTCGCGTCGTTTCCGCATTTGACCCCGTGCGATAGAGGTTATTTGACATGAGAATAAATTGTAATGTCATGTCTCCCAATGCGTAATTTTAAATTCTGTGTGGTGGTGATCCAAAGGCGGTCCGAATGATATCCATCTTGGGGAAGAGCAACCCAATCGCACAGAGATTTCAAATATAGGAATCATGGTGCAGCCAGGAAAATACATATTTAGGAGAAGCCTCTAGAGTTTCCTTACTCAAAAAATGCCATTCACGTCAGGAAAATAACATTTTGAAGCATTTTTATTCCAAAAACGAGAAACAGGAAAAGGAGGCAGGTAGGTATTCCAATTCCAGAAGCTCCTCCCAGTTCTACCGGCGAAGCATCGTCTGAAAACTCTCCCATAAACGTATTCACTAGTACCACCATCCATCTCCACCTCCGAATTCCGACATCGATATCGGAGTCTTCCATTGTTGATATTTTAGTGGTGCTCTGGGTTGGGCTTTCTGTGATGGCTCCTGAAGGTCTCCTTGTAATGACTTTTGTTGTGCCTCGTGTAGTGGTTCTTGTTGTTCCTCCTTTCATGCTTCCTGAACTGCTTCATGTTGTGGCCTTTGTAGTGCCTCCTGTGCGGCCTCCCGATGTTCCCCGTGTGGTGCTTCTCGTTCCTCCAGTGGTACCGCTTGTTTGTAGACCTTTGTTGCTTGCTGCTGGTGGCGCAGCGGTGGTTCCTGGAACCCCTTGTGTTCCACTTGCAGATTTTCCTCCTCCTCCTCCTCCATTGCCTAATTTTGTCGTAGCTCCGCGCCTTCTCCTGATAGTTCTAGATTTCAATGGTTGCATAGGATACGAGGCAAATACGCAAATGAGAGGCAAAATAATATATAATATATATTAAAGACTTCGTTTCTTTGAGACACGAAAAAATATGTATATTACAAGTTAATCACTATACTATTCAACGAAAACCATACATTAAACTCAGGTAAATTTAAGTTAATTGCAGATTTAAAATGTTCAATAATGTTCGCACGTGTTGATTGTTCTCGCGAGGCCATTAACCATTAGAGGTACATTTTACCATTAGAAGTCGAATAAGAACTCATCATTGCATTGAAACCACTACTTTTTGTGGAAAATTCTGTCTACATTTCGGATATTTTTCACTTTTCTAAAGTTTTACTTAATTGGGACGTAAAGGATCACATGTCTTCGCACCAAAGCCAACAGCAACCACAGAAAGAGAGTTTGGCTTTGAGAAAAAAAGACCATTTTCTAACTAACATTCTATTTCGTATTACCTAATATCATTGCTTCAGAAGCCCTCATACGAGGATGAATTCCTTCAAACCTGGAAACTTTAACAAAGGATGTGTGATGATTAGGATGTGATTGGGAGACACGACTGAACGTCTACGGTCCGGTGGTGTAATGGTAGCACTCCTGACCGGCAATCATGAGGGTTCGATTCCCCGGCCGTCCACCGGCTTTCTTGCGTCCTCTCATGCACGTCGAACCTCCACTGCCTTCAGTTCGACAGGTCACAGCTAGGAGGCACGCTTCGGAGGGACTGGTGGATTTGTCTGGCAGCAGCGGGGCTTAGAGCATACGACCACCCACTAGTGAATTTGGTCGGGCCGTGGGTTGATGGTGTTGAAGCATGGTGAAGTTTGAGGGGGGTGCCCCCGCTGGATTTGTATTGTGCACTCTCATGTATTCACCACCCAAGCATCCGAAAGGCCCTGCAGCCATTATGTATGGCTGGAGTCTGGATGAGTCTGGATGAGATATGGATGAGATATGGATGACATATGGATGAGTCTGGAGGACAATACTTCCTTAAGGAGGGGGTACTGTGATAGTAGAGATGGCGTTCAGAGAAATTTACATAGGGATGGCGTCCTGAATATCGTCGGTTCGAATGTGTAATTGGTAGTCCATCTGACCGGTAATCAGGAGACCCAGGTATAATTCCCGGCCGTCCCCTGGCTTTCTTTCGTCCTTTCTCGCCATCTAGCCCTCCCTACGTTCCAACTCTTCACGTCACAAATGGCATTGGTTCTTATAATATAACTCCGAGTGCAACCGCAACCTCGAGTGCAACAATTTCCCAATTCACCGCGTCCTATTGGGATCTTCCGCGGTATATCCGTCCTCACCGGAATCAGCACGGAAATCAGCAGAGTTTCAGTGCATGAGTAATAGAATTCCATTAGTGGATGATTGACGAAACCAATGATTCGAAATTAAAGAGATAACAGAATGAGCAAGAATGCCAACTGGTACTCAAAGATGAGTCTCAGTTTATTAAATAATCAATGCTGATGGTATAATGGTTACTGAGGTAAACATTTCGCGATTGCAGTTTAAAACAAGAAAAATTACATACCAGGTTCAAATCGTGCACTTTCGTTGCATTCTCTCCTCTTTTCTGCATGCTTCCACTTTCCCTCCTTCGTTTGTCATCTGCCTTCTCATTCCTCCACGTGCCCCTCCTGCAGCTGAAGCAACAAATCCTCGAATTTAATAGCGCTTATCCTAAGATCGTCCGTGTGTCTCAGTTTGGATTACAATTCGGATTCGGAAGAGATTCGGAATCGCTTATCGGCGAAATGAAAGACCCATGAGCCAAATATCCCAAGAAAAGTTGAATTAGATTGATCATGCTCTGAAGCGAGGTCACCATCGACTGTGCTCAGGCGAATTAAGTAGCAGCCAGGACATCATGCCATCAGAACATTTTTTATTTCAAGTAGTTTTCTCAAAGGATGTTTCGATACTTAATGTAACACCCTAATTATTCTCAGGACATTCATTCATTCCGTTGCTATCGCAATTTCAAAAACACATTGTTTGGGTAGAAGAGCAGTTGAGAAAGGGTAGTTAAGTTTTTGAGGAAAATTACAACCATATTTGTGGAATTCATGGTCAATGGAAAATACTTCCCAGCCATTGAGATGTATTTATTCGCGAAAACACCCATGAGTGACAAAACAGTTATTATGAATAGCCATGTGACAAACTCCAATGTGGCACCTGTTTATTCCACAACGTTAATTGGCAGAGAACCCTTAGAATTTTACTGTACTGATGACAGCCGGTGATGGCAAAATCGATCTAATGAGCGGGAGAACATGAAGTTGTTATCAAAGAACAAGAGCTCTCCAAATGTAATCAAAAGTAGTCAAAAGTCGAAGCGAGTAATGCAGGTAACCGCGTAGGAAAGTTATGGAATGAACCCCATGCTGAATCCATCTGCTACCCCAAAAGTCCAAAATCACTAGCATGGGAAAGGGCATGCCCTAGCAGTGACTTCAACGGGTACTATCAGTGCCGAGGGGGTTGGGAGGGTGTGCGACGATTCGTTTCCACAGATTTGGCTGAATGCCTTCAGGGGGTTTGCGAGAAAAGAATGGATTGTGAGATTACGTTTTCCCAGAGCAGGTTGAAGCATGTTTTGAAAGGTCTTCGAAAGAAGGCTCGGACTTGGGATATCCACGAGAGAGAAAACAATACTTTTAGCAAAAAATTTACGGCTGAGACTATCGAACAGGCAGGAAAATAAATGTTTTAGGGAAAAACCAGGTTTACAGTTTCTTCAAGGAACCCGTCCTATTCACACGTGCAACATCAGAAAATGTTGCACCATTTTTGCTGCGAAACCGAAAATGAGGAAAAAGAAGCCATTTGCCGCTCTTCCGGATGCTCCATCCGTTCCTGCTTCCTGAAGGTCCTTTTTCTTCTTTTTTGCCTCCTGGAGATCCTCCCATGATGCTTCCCAAGACTTGTGCAATGCTTCCTGTAGCTCGTCTAGTGGTGCCTCCTGCGTTGCTTCCTGTTGGTTCTCCTGTGGTGCCTCCTGCGTTGCTTCCTGTTGGTTATTCTGTGGTGCCTCCGGCAATTCCTCCAGTTCCACCTCCATCTTCTCCTATATTGCCTTCTTTTACCGGAGTTTCGCGCCTTCTCCTGTCAGATCTAGTATAAAATTGTCGGATTAAATAATGCTTCTGGCAAAAGTATGTCAAATAACATATGCCAATAATTTCGCGTCTCTGAAGGATATGGAGATACATATTTTGCCTTGACAATTTCACGCTCTATTTTTATTATTCTTTTGTAATATAATTTTAAAATGAGTCAATTTAATTTATAATAAAAAAACAACTTTTGAAATTTACTTCTATTTTCGGACTTTTCCGTTGTTCTCAGAGAGATGTTATGCATAGCTGGTGATTTGTCATTTTAAAAAATATTTAAGTGAAAGTTTCCACCCAAATGCCTGTCCGTGGAATCGACAGAAGGAATGTTTTACACTTTTCCGTCAGAATGGAATGTTTTATGCGATGACAATGTAAATGAGATAACTCATTTCACAGTTCTTACTCCTCTAGGATGGCAATTGTTTGACTCGTAATATAACAGAATATCTCAATCCAACTCAGATATTCAGGCGGTTCTCAGTTGTAGAATCACTTTTTAGAACCAAGGACAGATTCCTTCTCACCTCTTGCTGGGCAAAGGACAGGTTCTTTCTCCTTTGAGAACCTCGTGCACCTGACACTTGGTGCACCTCATGAACAGGTTGCCTTGTGCACGTTCTATCCGGCCGTGGAACTTCTTCAACAATTGAAAATCCCCTTCCTTCCCTTTGAGACTCCGTTTTTCCCAGCGCCGATTGAGAAAGACTCCCTCTTTCCCTCTGGAGTCGCCCTCGAAGCAATGTACTAAAAGCGTGTGTAAGGAACGGCAATTCTATAACCAAGTACATGACAATATAAGGAAGGAGGATGCTAGATGAAAAGAATGAATCTCGAAGCAGACAAAACACCTTTCGACTAATATACTAGGGGGTTCAAATGAAAAGGGGACAAAGGCTGTTACGTAAAGCATAAGGTAAGGTACTAAAAGTCCCATTTAGATTCGGAAACCCATAGTACATAAGTAATTGTGAAGATATATGGGGGAGTTGTGGGCCTATATCGTAAATATACTTAGACCTGCATGCCCTACCTCTCAGCCCTAACTTGAAAAAAATACACATCACGTTATAATAAATCAGATTCTCAAATCACGCCAGCAACATTTATATCCAATACAAACAATTCCTACGCACTTGTGTCATAAGCATCAGACCATGCCGAACAACTGAAGTTCATCTTGCATTCCGAAGAGCATCATTTTCCTTGACAGTTTCCGCTTCCTAGAATTATACATTTCAGACTGTAAAGCCTATTAAAAAGGATTAGCCCGAATTGCTCCGGAAATTTCCGAATTTTTCACAGCCAAGTTAATCACGTTCGAAATACCTCCAAGATACCATTCCAATCCAGACCAGCTTACGTTTGACAAACGCTTGGAAATCGTCGGCAAGGACAAGCTGGATTCCATCCTTGAAGACCAACTGGCAGGTGCCATCCGATTCCCTGTGATTGAAGGCTTGGCACGGCAGAGACGGATCGTCCTTTGCGCATGCGGTCTCGCATTCCTCAAAGCTGGTAGTGATATCCGTTGACTCGATTCCGTAGCGTTCTCCTGGGTGTACAACCCAATACACCACTGGTTCGATTGCTGATCCAACCCAAATCAAGCAGTAGAACGCGAAAACCTTCAGCGAGTAACTCATCGCTCTGTCAGAACAAGAAACTGAATTTACGCATTTTATTCCTACGAAGTAGAACTTCCTGGGAAAAAAGACGTATGCTCTCCCACGTAAATCCTGTTTAAGCCTATCCTATTTAAATCACCTGCACAGAGAGAGATCAAAACGCTTTCCCATGCTTAAAGAAGAGGTAGGTTTGCGAAGGAATCAAATGTAACGAGGATCTGTCAGGCATGGGAACACGAGAGAACGTACCTGATAGTTCCTCTGTTCAAGGAAACAGCATGGACGACACGTCTTGAAGAGCGAACCTTGTTAGGCGTCACCTACCGCATGATTCCCCAACCGAAGCATTATATATCGATTCAAGTGTATTCGGGCATCGAGCCAGATTAATCGAACTTCAACGTCTGTTACATGAACAATACCTAAGATTCCGTCTGGTTGGGGCGTTGCACGAGCTTTCAATGACAACGAAGCGCCACCTTCCAAAACCAGGTTGGAGGCACGTGCTGCACAGAACGCAAGAGAAGGCGTTGCTAGGCGAGCGATTGTGACCATGGCATGGCTAGACTGAGGTAAGCAGCTTCTCCTTGCACGTCCTTGTGCGCACGGGGTCTTCGGAGAGTAGCCATCGATTGTACCGGAAATGTAACCGTTGAATATCTATCGAAATAACTGAGGAGTCCATCGATTTCCACATTCACTGTTTCCTTAACGGCCATGGAGACATTAGACTGCCAATCTGCCGCGTCTGCGAACGAACCGATCATGGATCTCCCGATGGAACTTCATATCGATTCAATTCTGAGTTTGGTAGGATCGTGGTGAATGTGGATTCACCCACCTCTCCTCCTCTTCAAGGGCAATGCCAAATAATGTTGCCAGGTAACCAAAGCTAGCCCCGAAATAACCTCCAAGTCCTGGACCGGGCTACATGGTCAATAAATTCAATCGCCTTCCTCGTGAAGCGGCTGTTATTCTTTCCTTCTTCACGACAAAAAAACGAAAGAAAAACCTCAAGATTATGGGTTTCCAGAGCTGGAAACTAAATGTTGCGCATTTCTTCGTATTCTTTGGGAATGCATATCCATGTTGCCATGGACTCAATAATTACTTCAAATTCGATGAGTTTCAATTCCAACGCCTCTTCTAACCTAAAAATTGAAATAAACATTTATTCCAACAAATCACCCTACCCTTTGGTAGATTGATGGAGAAAGGAGATTAAGTAATTTTATTCAGCCGCTCTTTTCAGCCTCGATGGAAGCGAAGTGGATCTCTATCTACATTAAAAAAACTCCCCCCTCCAAAAAAAAACTATTCATGAGGCAATAAGTAAGTGTCTGAAAAATCAGACAAGTTCTCTTAGCTAAAGCAATCCGTCTCAGGTTCGTACTCCGCCCCGTCTCGATTGTCACCTCGGAATCGACACGTTTCGCAGAGATGTTTGCTTCCGGCAACGCTTCTTTCTCCCTGCTCCACGCACGGCAGCCGATCTATGGAATGAAAAGAACTAGGGAAATATAGCTTTTAAAATTTTTTTTTACTGTGCAACACAGGTGGATCACCATAGGTGGATAAACAGGGACCTGTCAACCCAAGCCACCGATATCTTATGAAACTGAAGTCATTCACTCCTGACCCACAAAGGCATAATTATTCACTTTGGAGCAGTAATAAGATTTCCATACGCCAGACTCGGTGGAAAATATTCATTCTCATCGGAAGATGAAGTGAACAAAGGAGGGGGGAGAGGAAGGACTCTGAATTACCTCGTCAAGTCCGCTCCTCCGCTCGATCCACGTCCACCACGGAGGTCCACAGGAAACTGACTCCAGCGTATAAAGCATATCGATTCAAATTCATAAATGGAACGAGCGAAAAATACCAGGGCTCTCACCCACCTTTGTTGCTTCTTCGCGTATTTCCTCTCATGCATGAATCGGTTCATGCGCTGCTTTACATACAGTAAACATCCTCCAGTAATGAAAAACGGAAAATATTTCGAAAGGCGAACAGAAGTGTACTTTGACATCCTCGAGCGCATAGCAAAGGAAATATAGAAGATATATCTTCTAACTTGTATGCCTCCTCCTCATCTGCATATTCAGGAAAAAACGCAAATATTTCTGTACGTTCTGTATGTGTCATCCGCCAATTTCTTGTTTCTATTTTCTAAAGGAAATCGGTTCATAGGGAGACCAACTTCCGGTCATATGAAAGTTGTGAAGTTAAACTGGCTATGTTCAACGCGAGGTATGAAAAGCATTTCTGCTGGTCTACAACTAAGCTATAATACACCGAATATACTGAGGAACGATTCCCGTGGGTATCCTGCAGTGTGGATCTGCACAATCTATCAAAATGTCATCCATCAAAAGTCATAATATCACGATATGATTGACAACGAAACGGAGATGTAGTGACGGGAACTGTCGCGGCATCTCCGTTGACAGATCTAGCCTCGCGACCAATTCCTTTGATGATTTTTAAAATTTTCATTTTTCAGAAGCTGAAAGTTCGCGTTTCTTATTCCTTCATTCACCCCTTTCTCTTTTCCTCAAGGCATTTCGTTGTCGAATGTCTGTGAGGCAGTGCGAAGATAATATACACGTATCTGGACGCAATTCCATCAAGTTGCTGGTGAGTTAGATCCATGGGAGCTCTTGGGAGGATTACAATGCATCAAATAGATGCATATCTCGGGCTAATGCGTGAAGCCGCTACGTTTATGATGTAAAAAGACAGAAATACTACTTTAAAAAGGCACATCATGCATCTCACCAGTTATTTAGATAATAGTTAGCAGCACTTGGGTGATGGTAACTTGACTTAAAATTGGTCATTTTTTGAAACATTCAAATCGCTGCAACTCGAAAAGTACTTGAACTAGAAAGCCTCAATTTGGCAAAAAAAATTGTTTCTTAAGAGCTTCTACGAGCTCACGAAATTTCTTAAAAATCGGAGAAGTGGATGTCATTTTCATGTAGTGACATGGAATGATGTAAATTTAACTAGCTTCATCATATGATTTGAGTAACATACGCTATTCACTCGTCTGAGGGAGGCCATGGCACGATATCGATGGATGCTGCAACGTTATTCACAAAACTAACTAGTTTCCTTTTTTCGTTAAAATCAAGGAGAGCATTTTCGAAAAATACCAATAAGAAATTCAACAAAAAATCAACGGTGTGGTCATGGTCTTAAGAAATGGTTCTATATTCCGAGCCGATTACATTTGGCTATCATATAGACGCAATACCCATTTCAAGGGTTGAGGAGCACGTTGGCATAGAAGTATTTTGTTCCAGGTCGTTAAAGTGAGCCTGCATCGTTATTAAACCAGATTTCTGTTGGCGTTCCCCAATTTTTTCGCCGAGTCGAATTTGCAGCTCTTATAATGCCTCTTAACCAAATCAATCTTCCGATGCAAGGAACAAAAGCCGCACAAGTTGCTAAGTCTTTATTATGATTGAAAAACTGCTTTAAGCAACTTCTACGAGACACAATAATATCACATTGTTAGTTTGGAAAAGAATCCATTCAACTTTTGTGATGACAAATACATCAGAAATTGTTATTTAGCGGAAATGTTCAAAAAACCATACTTGAGAATGCAAATTATTCCGCAGGAAAATTTAAAGTAGTTTAGATCTCAAACAAGACAAGAAGCTCTCGAGAATCAATGGATTTCAAATTACTTCACGCATACGACATGGTAGATACTTTTATATAATGAACCCACGAATAATAACCCCATTCCCAAAAGACAAAAATGATGAGCAAGGGAAAATGCGTTGTGCCTTAAACAAACACTGTCAAATTCGAATAGTCGAAAGTGCATGCGGGAATTCGCCTTTGAGAGTGTACACTAAAGTTTTTTTAGATGAGAATAAGTCGCAAGGTCAGGTCCTCCAGTGAGTAATATAATAATTTGTGCAGAGTGATACAGAGGAGGTCCAAATGATACCCATCTTGAGGGGAAACATCCCTATTTGCATAATTCAAAGACAGGACCCATCGAGCACCCAGGATTATGCATATTTAGGAGAAACCTATGTGCAGAATTATCTGAAGCAAGCAATCCTATTCACGCCAAGAAAAGAAGAACATTTTGAAGCATTTTTGTTCCAAAAACCAGAAACAATGGGAGCCATCCAGCGGTTCCACTTACAGAAGCTCCACTCTCTCCTGCACCCAAAAGACCGCCCATAATTTCGCTCATTATCCCGCCAAAAAATCCCTCATCGTCGTCTTCCCCATCTTCATCAAGTCCTTTCGGTGTTGTTGTCCTTATGGTGCCTTGGGTTTCTTTGCCTGTGGTGGCTCCGGAAGGTCTTGTTGTAGTGCCTTTTGTTGATCCTCGTCACCACGGAGAGCATCTAGGAGCACACCACGGAGAGCGACAAGGAGCACACCACGGAAAGCAACATGGAGGGAACTACGAAGGACTAAACAAAGGACGTCCACCAGAACCCCAAGGAAGTCAACGAGCTCCTATGGTGCCGTTTGTTGGTCGACCTGTGGTGACCTCTGTTGCGTTCCGAGGCGTGGTTCCTGCAGCCCCTTGTGATACACTTGCCGATTGTCCTCCACTTCCTTCTCCATTGCCCAATTTTGTCGTTGCCTCGCGCCTTTTCCTGATATTTCGAGAATTCAATGAATGTGTTAGACAAGGCAAATAGTCAAATGTGTGGCAAAATAATATACAATAAAAACATTATGTATTTGAGACATATGAAGAAACTATAGGCCTATTATAAGTTAACCATAACACTATTAAACGAAAATCATTTCTTATAATGAAGAAATTCAAGTTAAATATAGATTTTAAATGTTCAATAATGATCGCACACGATCAATGAAATTCGTAGAAAAACTCATCACATTGCATAGTGGTTGAAAGGACCGCATGTTTCGCGCAACATAGCCAGCATGGAATACATAATTCAGCTTTTTGTAACTAAAATCATACACAGTCTATCCAAATAGTCAACTGAATGATGATTTACATAGCTTCCGTTTCATTCATGTCTTTTCGGCTGATGACAAAATTTACACGACCTTCTCCTTCAGGGATACAACAATATATATTTGCTTAGAACGTTACAGATATGAGACTTGATATAATGTGTTTAATAATGGTTTACGAACTTCCAGAATAAACCAAGGATTTTTAGGAAAGAAGAAAAAAAATCATAAGGTCAAGTTTAGGAGTAAAGCTAGTAACTCTAAATAAAATATTTTAACTTTCTTTCCCACGAATCTGAGGGAACGAAACTAAACCACTTCATGAAAACTGAGATATTCCGGTGGTTCCTGATTCCGTATTCATACGTCCACGGTAAAACGTTTCCATGTCCTCACACCTTCTCACCTCTTGCTGGGCAAAGGACAGGCTATTTCCCCTTCGAGAACGTCGTGAACTTGACACTTCGTGCACTTCATGAACTTGGCGCCTTTTGCAAGGCTTTTCCGTCCGTGGAACCCCTTCAACGATTCAAGTTCTCCTTCGTGCATTCTGAGACTTGACTTTTCACGACGTTGCTCATCTAGGGATCTCTTTTTCATTTTCGAGTCCTCCTCAAGGCAGGAAACTAAACCAATTTGACGAAAACGAAAAAGAAGTATATTACCAAATCGATGCTAATAGTGAAAACTGGCGAAAATGTGTCTCGAAATGCATGCGCACCAATTTTTCAAGTATCCCACACTTCCCCTCATTATTTGCTGTGAAAAGATGAGACTCTTATATCACGACAGTAACATTCATACTCAATTCATCAATCCCTTGTTCTCTGCGGTGATCATCACCCAAGCGGATGAAATGAATATTTTCTCTTTTTAAAAACTTTTTTTTCATATTCTGTTTCTAGGAATTGTATACTGTGGATTTCACACGAAAGCAGGTTAAACTGAATATCCATTATCTGGAGGGGGAAAAATCCGAGTTTTGGAAGGAACGTTGCAGAAAACTACTTAGCAGCGAGAGTTTGCTGTTATATTGTGCAGTAAATCACCTTGAGCGCAACTTACATTTGACAAACGCTTGGAAATCGTCGGCTGGCACGAGCTGGACCCCGTCTTTGTACACCAGCTGACAGGTGCCATCCGACTCCCTGTAGTTGAAGGCTTTACACGGCAAAGAAGGATCGTCCTTGGCGCATATGTTCTCACATTTCTCAAAGTCAGCGGAGATCTCCTTTGATACGAGTCCGTAACGTTCCCCTGGGTGTAACTCCCAATACACCACAGGTTCCGATGCTGATCCAATCCAGAACAGGCACGAGACCGTGAACACCATTAAGGTGTTGGCCATCGCCCTGTCAGATTGTTCAATTGACGTTAAAAAAAATTTATTTAAGAATTCTCTTTAAGAAGTGTCCATCGGAAAAGGTTTTCATGACTACAGGGGTTCCTTCAGACAATATATCCAAAATCCTTTAATGCAAAACCACCCACAAATGACCCTTTCGAACATTCTCATCAGAATACGTCCCAAGAGATCTCCAAATTAACAATTCAATTGACTTCTAGCAAAATTCAAAGATATAAGTAGTCCTTAGTCAATATGAAAGGAAAACAAAGTTGTGTTAATTTTGTCCATTAGTGAAAATAATGAAAACAATGACGTTTTGTAAGAGTGCTTAACCTGTCAAATAGCGTTGCATAAAAAAACTGTATAGACAAGGAAAACTGATTTTAATGAAATGGATATGTTGAGCGAACTAATTATTGTACATACTAAAGGGATGTAGTTAGGGAAGAGCTTCCTTTACGAAGAAGCATCTACTATCGTAATGCTGCCACCACTTCCTGGTTTCAGTTTAGGACGCTGTGAAAGTCTGCCCCCCTTCCTTCATGTTACGCAGCTGTCTCAACCTATTTATTTCCATGTATCTAGACGGGAATCATGGAATATTTATCTCCGCCGCGCTACCACGTACCAACCTGTTATTTTCACAGCCAATGCCAATCTAGAACTATTAATTCCAGTGCATACCGAGGCGGAGCCATGTATCTTCTCTGGCGTTGGATGCTATAACGGATACGGAGCATTTTGATAGTGGCCAATAATTACATAGGAAATATCCATTTTAAATATATGCTGGGACAATTTAAAGGAACTTCACTTTAGTGAACACATTTTCTAAGGAGTTCATCAACTAAACAATTAAATTTTGTTGTTCATGACGTATTCCCAACAGTTACACCCGCAATGCCCCGTAAAGATGTTTCCCAAATTGACACGGAAATTTGTACCAATGTACCGCGGCAAAGTTTGGATCTCGCACGGACGCTCTGGACGCTTAATTTCCGGGATTGTAGGTCCTAACTGTTCACGCGATAGAATGACTAATGAACATAAAATAATTAAATATTTAATTATAAGTCCCTCGTATGCGCAAAATTCCCAACAGGGACAACAACAGCAGTTCACATGAGTAACGCGAGCATGACTTAGATCCGACCTCGTCCAACTCAGCGTTTTGTGGAGTTCTCTAAGCGAACCAATATATCGATTCAAAGCTATAAGCGGAACGAGCGAGAAAATCCGGGATATCACCCACATATATTTATTATTTTCAAAGTTTTTGCGGACGCCAACGTTGCCCAGTAACCAAGACTAAGATCCGACCTCGTCCAACTCATCGTTGGATTCATTCCACAAGTTAATAACCAGTTCTCGAGTTCAAGCACCATTATGAATGCGATGAAGCTTTAGGAATGTCAAACACTTCGAATTGGGGCTTGACCTCAGGGCAAAATTGCGAATGACTCTTTTCCGTTTCGAGACTCACCTCGGGATTGTTCTCGAGTTCAAGCACCATTATGAACGCGATGAAGCTTTGGGAATGTCAAACACTTCTAATTGGGGCTTGACCTCAGGGCAAAATTGCGAATGACTCTTTTCCGTTTCGAGACTCACCTCGGGATCGGCATGACCCGACGCGACGCTCGCTTCGAGAAAATCTCTCCTCTCGTTGCAAAACTTTATCTGCAACAGGGAAAGAACAAGCAAAAAGGAATTTCTATTACGTCTTTCGCATGGTGTTAATTACGGACGTGAACTTGTTCATCTAAGGCCAACAATGTTCCATACCTTATGATATTAAATATAGCAGATGCTCCTAAGAAAATAGCATTGGAAAACAAATCAGGAATCTAAGAATTTAACGTAATATGTTGAAATCTACTATGGTCGTTTATGGTAGTCGGTGAAATGAGGGTCGTTTGTAACGTGTGCAAACCAGCGTCAAGCTAGTGCACACAAGAGCGAATCGGGATCGTTGCAGATGTTTGTCTTACAGAGTTTCGGTTGGGGTAAGCTAAGCGCCAGTACCATTGTACTCTGTTGCCGCACAAATTCTTGGATCTGATCTAGAAATGGAATGGCGATCACCATAAGTGCGTTAACTTGGGTAGCTCTTTTAGCAAAGCGCTTGAGCGCCTTCAAGCGGTTACCGATTGCAATATTATCCCTGTTACTGCCTCCGCACCTCAAAATGGCAACGAACTATGGGTACTGAAGGGGTACTGATAGCGCGCAATTCTATGTTGTTCTAATATACAGGACTAAAAGACATAAAATGAGTAGATAGTGAAATAAGTCATACACTGGTGCTAAATTCCTGCAGGGAAAGAAATGGCGGTTCACACAAGTAGGATTACAGCGACTATGAGAGCCGGTTTCGTCCCATGCTCGAGGGTCTCACGGTTCTGCCACCGAAGCAGTCTATCGATTCAGAGTTAAAAGTGGAACGAGCGAGAAAATCCGGGTTCTCACGCGCCATTGCTTTTTTTTCCACATGCCCTACCTATTCGAAACTGGCGTTGCCCGGAAACAATGTTTTACTGTGGTGCTCCTCTCTTGCAGACAAAATAATACATAAATTCATAAAATGTGCGACTTGACATATCGCTTTTTCTCCACATTTTTTATTTCCTGTATCTCCCACACTAAAGTTCACAGGCAGGATGTTCAAAAGGTTTCTGACCCACCCTCACAAAATCTGTCTGAATGCTATTTCAACCACTGCGAAAACATGCTATTGTATTCATGGGCTACATGAAGATCCTGGTGATCTACTAAGACCCAGAGAATGTATTGTGAATGCAGAACGTAGCTTCATTCGCCCTAACTCAATGATCGGGCATCAGTAATTACCGGAATTCTGGAGAAGTTAGAAGTCAACACGGCAAGTGTCATCCGTCGGTTGTCTGAGATATTGAGGACGCTGATATTGAGGAAGCTGCTGTTTTGTTAATTTTGTCCATTAGTGAAAATAATGAAAACAATGACGTTTCGTAAGAGTGCTTAACCTTTCAAATAGCGTTGCTTAAAAAAAACTGCATAGACAAGGAAGAAGTCTTTCAATGAAATGGATATATTGTGCAAACTAATTTTTGTACATACTAATAGAATGGAGTTAGGCAAGAGCTTTCTTTACGAAGAAGCATAATTTCCAAAGATGTTGTTCATGACGCATTCCCAACAGTTACTGCGGCATTGCCCGGAAATATGTCTCCCAAAATGACACGGAAATCTGCATCTATGTGCCGCGGCAAAGTTTGAGCTCTCGCACGGACGCTCTGGACGCTGAATTTCCCAGAAGCGTAGGTCATACCCGTTCACACGATATAATGACTACTGAACATAAAATAATAAAATATTTAATTATATATCCTTCGTATGTGCTAAATTTCCGAAAGCGACACCAACAGCAGTTCACATGAGTAACACGAGCATCACAAAGATCCGACCTCGTCCAACTCAGCGTATTGCGGAGTTCTCTCACCGAACCAATATATCGATTCAAAGTTAAAAGCGGAACGAACGAGAAAATCCGGGCTCTCACCCACATATATTTCTTATTTTCAAAGTTTTTGCGGAGGCCAGCGTTGCCCAGTTACCAAGATTAACCTGGTGTTTCTCTCTCGTCAGAATCTGATTGTATGGAAATCACGAATGGCAATGAAAATTAAGACAGGAACTACTGGACAGCAGAACATGCAATTATGAATTTCGGACATTTTCCTGGTTCGCAGAACGGTGCCAACTGTCAAATCCTGAATCTCACGATGGATTGGGTATCTGATACATTAATTTAATGAAAATGTTATATTCTTTATTCTATATCATTTCTATATTATTTTCTCTCCATCAAATTATATAGTGAAAAGAATCGCGATAGCTACGACCAATTCGGATTTAGATTTTAATATCTTTAATATATTTTAGATACTCTAGAATTTAAGAGTTGCTGTTGGTGTACCATTAGATTGCACCGAAAGTGGGCATTAACGGAGAGAATCTAGCCATGTTGCAAAAATGGTGGAGGCACCCACTCCTGCCTTCAGCTTAGGACGTAGGTTGCATTCTCTCCAATCTTCCGTCCATCCTTGATGCCATGTTGTTGTTCAAAGTTCTTTCGAATTGTAGATTCTGATACGAGATTCTCGTGAAATATCTCCCACCCCGCCTCCCCAACCCCATTGTTATGCCGAAGTTTGTCCATTAACGCTGCCAAGTTCAAAACGGATAACGCGTTCTGGAAGAATAGCGCTGAAATGAGACATAATTACTTGTTAGTGAATTCTCCCATTTCATATGGAATGCCCATTTTCTATATTATGGTATCATTTCATGGTCAGGATCTGGCATGAAATGACGAAAATAAAATCTGGACGTTGTGTAACTCTTCCGGTCGATCATTTGATTCCGTCTATACTAGTGGCGCGACATTTTTCGTATATTTCTTTCCTTCCCTTTTTCCACTATCTTCATAAGTCGATAAATCCAATCGTGTCTGGATTTACCGTTTGAAATTCTCACATCAACAGTTCATAAGTGCCTCGATGCATTGTCGGTGGATTCATTCCACAAGTTAATAAGTAGTTCCCGACTTCAAGCGCCATTATGAATGCGATGAAGCTTTAGGAATGTCAAACGCGTCTAATTGGGGCTTTACCTCAGGGCAAAATTGCGAATGACTCTTTTCCGTTTCGAGACTCACCTCGGGATCGGCATGACCCGACGGGACGCTCGCTTCGAGAAAATCTCTCCTCTCGTTGCAAGACTTTATCTGCAACGGGGAAAGAACAAGCAAAAACGAATTACGTTTTTCGCATGGTGTTAATTACGGACGTGAACTTGCTCACATAAGGCCAACGGTGTTCGATACCTTATGATATTGGATATAGCAGATGCTCCTAAGAAAATAGTATTTGAAAATAAAAAAGGAATCTAAGAATTTAACAAATGTTGAAATCTACTATGGTCGTTGGTGATGGTGAAATGAGGGCACAAACATTGCTCACGCTTCGTCGCAGTTCCATCACGTATGTTCTCCCATAGCCCTAGCAACGTGTACAACCGGAATGTCTCAAAGTCAAACCCATTCGATTCGCGGCCATTGTAACATGAGACAACCAGCGCAATTTCTTAGATCAGATCTACAAATGGAATGGCGATCACCATTTCAAGCATTTGAACCCATCGAGAAAATGACTTCACGAACTCGCGGAAGTTCGCCAATCCGATTGCAATATCATCCCTGTTACTGCCTCCGTAACTCAAAATGGCAACGAAATATGTGTACTGAAAGGGTACTGGGAACGCGCAATTCTATGTTGTTCTTAAATATAGAAGGGCTAAGAAACAATAAATGAGTCGATAATAAAATAAGTCATACACTGGTGCTCAAATTCCTGCAGGGAAAGAAATGGCGGTTCACACAAGTAGCATTACAGCGACTATGAGAGCCGGTTTCATCCCGTGCTCGAGGGTCTCACAGTTCTGGCACAGAAGCAGTCCATCGATTCAGAGTTAAAAGCGGAACGAGCGAGAAAATCCAGGTTATCACGCGCCGTTGATTTTTTTCCACATGCCTTACCTATTCGAAACTGGCGTTGCCCGGAAACAATGTTTTACTCTGATGCTGCTTCTCTTGTCTCTCTTGCGGACAAATTAATTCATAAGTGGAGGGCTCCAAAATGTGCGACTTGCCGTATCGCTTTTTCTCCAATTTTTTTTTTCCTGTATCTCCCACACTAAAGTTCACATGCAGGATGTTCAAAAGGTTTCTGACTCACCCTCACAAAATCTGGCTGAATGGTATTTCAACCACTGCGAAAACATGCTATTGTATTCATGGGCTACATGAAGATCCTGGTGATCTACTCAGACCCAGAGAATGTATTGTGAATGCAGAACGCAGCTTAGTTCGACATCGATGACTTCGAAGAGACCAGAGTACAAGTCGAAAAATACTCGTTCCCCAAATTGTATAGAAATGAAAGTGGTTGATGCGTATTAGAATTAGCGTCAGTCAGTCAGTAGGTCGGTCAGTCAGTCACGATAGTCAATATATATCAGATGCTCCTAGAAAAGTGGTGTCTTCAAGCAAATGAGGAATCTAAGAATCTAACGAACTTTAGGAAGCTCTTTCAAGGTT